TATATATATATATATATATATATTTGCAGAGGCATGATAAAATGCCTCTGCAAACGTTTTTGTAGGATAATGACTCAAGTTTTTAATAGGTTTTGTCTTCCTGCAGAGCTCCTGTCCTGGTGGCGCTCGCACTGATAGAATGTGGGATGAAATATGAAGATGCTGTCCAGTTCATTCGACAGTAAGTTTGTGTAACAGTTAAAATTGGGATTTAGCGTCATAAAAATGCTGTAAAAACTTTTCATTTTTGAACATTTTGAACACTGAACTTCTTGCTGCTGCCTTTTCTTCCAGGAAGCGTCGAGGAGCGTTCAACAGCAAGCAGCTGTTCTACCTGGAGAAATATCGTCCAAAGATGCGCCTGCGCCATCGCAATAACTGCTGCATCCAGTAGAGCCAAACCCCATTCCCTCCTGCCATGCCGGCCCAAAACCTCCCGAAAACTCATTACTGAAAAACTCATTTCATCCTCACTACCTTGCTTTCTTGGCAGGTTGGATTGTTTTTTCTTTTTTTTTCTTCTTCTTCTTTGTCTTTTGCCATTGTGTTGAAGTATTTTACTTTGAAAAACCATGTGCTGTAATTCAACTTCCCCTCTCAAGGCTTAAATAAATTACAAGTGTCTGAGGGATAACAAGTTGTGTGAACCACATTGCCCAATAAAAGAGTGAAACTATAAAAACATGAAGGGCAGTGCTGCGTTGTATCTTTGTGAAATGTTGGATTTATAGTTGTTGCAAGTGTCCCAAAGATTTTAATTGGCCACTATGTTAAAGTACTGCAGAAAAAAGTAATGTGACGAGTTAAAATCCACTCCTCTTCCTGTTTGTTTTGTTTGTTTTAATTCAGTTTCAAAAGAGTAGAAAGAGATATGCCTTCCTTCAGATCACATGGATCATTCATAAATGCCTTACAAAGTGAAACCAAGGCAGTCGTGCCACTGGCGTCTGGGAAAGAAAGGTGTTTCATTTTTCTACTTGGAATAATAAAAAAAAAAAACCTGTTGCCTTTGTCTTGTGCAGGAAGTTACACTTCTTTCATTTAATTTTTAATTTAAATTACCTTGCTGTCATATTTATCAGTTGAATGTCTGAGTTTATTTTATTTATCAAACCATCTGTTTAATATTTCACTGCCATGCCATTTGGTTATCTTTCTTCTTTTTAAACTTGGTTCAAGCTGTTTCAGCTTCAAACTGGACTTCCACCATCTGCGATAATGTGTATGCCTTTTTTTTTTCTTCTGTTTATGTCCATAACTTAAAACTTGCATACTTGATGATTTTATGTATTTGAAAATGTGTACTATTAGGTTGGCTATTTATACTATCAATGGATGTGTGATTTAGTACAGTGAGCGACAAAGTTGTACCTGTTCACCAACTTGTGAGATTACATTAAATGACACTGAAAAAAAACAAACGGACGTCTCATTTTCTGAGTTATCTGTTGGAAAGAAGGTTGAATATATGTAGGACTAATTTTTAGTAATTGATTATCTGATGACTCTGCAGATTTTTCATTTAATCAAATTATTAAAAATGTTAACATTTTGTTGCCTAAAGTGCAATAACAGCATTATTTGTTATACTCTTATTTGTAGCAAATGATTCATCTGCAGCTAAAAAAATACTAACCGTAAAAAAGGTAGCTTTTTCTGCTTGACTTAACGTCAACACAGTGTAGGTAATTAATAACTACCAAAATGTGTCATATTGGAGATTTATTTTACAAAATCTGAGCCAGGTAAAGCTAAAACTACACCACTTGAGTTTTGGGTCGAACATACTTAAATTTTTCATCTTTAATGCAAATTTTATATATTTTTGTACAGCTTTGGCTAAATTAATGCTCTGGATATTTGTGTTATTTTAGCAAACGTCCTTTTTTTTTAATCTGTATACTCCAGTTAATCATTTCCTAAATTAGTTTATGATTAATTATGGTGCTCATCTATATTGTGTTGGCCATAATATTTTTAATTAAAAATCTGATGTAGTTTTGTTAGAAACAAATTTTTGGAGGTTATGTTAGCCGTAAACAATAACCACCAAAATGAGCAGTTCGTAACCACTTTTAGAACAAGCATGTATATTATAACCTTCCTCTATTCTAACTACAGGGGGCGCTGTAGTTTTTTTTTTTAGAGAACCTAGACACGAGCAGTAAAGTTTTTGAAAATGTAATATTAAGCATAATCTAACCCAGTCGTTCCCAAACTTTTTCTTCTGCCCCCCCCCCCCGTGGTTTCCAAACATTTTCTGCGCCCCCCAATGGATTACAAATGGCTGTCTGGTTGAAACAATGCGTGTGAGGGGGGGAATCGACTTTTTTGGGGGCAAAATGAATGTACGTAGCTGAAAATAGACACCAACATCGGTAGCCTACAAGGTACTTGTTAAGCTAAAGTTGCTGTATCGATATTAGCTAGTCATCTTTTAGCTAACATTACCTGCATCCAACAACTTTACTCGACTCAGTCGGTTAGTTTGGAGGGAAAAACTGTGAAAAGTTCTTTGCTTGCTGGTTTGCTGCCATGATTCTAACACAAACCTACGTAGCTCCGCACAGCAGCAGTAGGTCTCCTTCACAGGTGGAAACCTAGTGCGAGCGTCGTAGCGCTCATGTTGCGTTTAAAGGCGGTTCGGAAAAACAGGGTACAACATGTTAACAACGGATTAAACAGTTTTAACTGATAAAAGTGACAGAGGACACAAATATGGGAAGTGTGTAAGCCTCTACTGTATCAAATTGGCATAGGAATAACAGAGAGTTGACCATTCTAAGGTAAAAACCCAGCACATACAGTGTTCATGTTTTTTGTTGTTTTTTTTCACCCAGACGGCTTCCCGCGCCCCCCCTGCAATGACACGGCGGCCCCCCTAGGGGGCGCTCCCCACAGTTTGGGAACCTCTGACCTACAGGAATTTTGGTCTTCATGCACCACAGTTTTACTCGTTTGCCTTTATGACAATAATGATGATGCAAAAATATTCTTACAATCAGAACGGTAGAAGATCTCCAGCAGTAACGGAACAATTCACTAATATTTGCCCGTGACGTATATAATGCGCCGGTGAGTTCACTTACCAGAAGTTGTCTGAGCTGCAAACATCCGTCCTCCACTGACAAGAGAAAAGAGCTGACCTGAACAAGATGGCGGTTGTTGGCATTAATTCAGTATTTGGAACCAACAACGACTGAACAGCTTCCTTCACTTCCTCTGCTGCCATTGCTAAAGCGACAGGCAGACTATTCTAAAACAGCGTTGAAAATCGACGTCATCGTTCACAATTGTCCTTCTGTTCGCTGATTGGCCCGGTAGAAATTTTAACAGGAGAGAATCCGTGTAAATGGCAGAAAACTTACACTGTTTTGGAAGCGGAAATGGCCTGATTAGCATCATGTCAACCCAGAAAACTGTTCGTTTCAGGTGAGTCTCCGATTAACTCAAATATGTCAACTAACCTATAAGATTGTTTCCAAGCCCATGACGCCATCATTTATGTTTTCTCTCATTGTTTAAGGAGACAACAGTCATTCGATATTTAAACTCTTGATTTTGAAGACATTAATGAAAATAGGGGTTCCCAAGCAGCATTGGCTTCTGGTCAGAGATTCCATCTGAAACCCACAAACAATGCAGCAAAATATGTACAGGTAAATAAACACTTTTTTTTTTTGTTTTTTCACTTTCACTCAGTAGTTACTACATTCATTTAGCATAAATGTTGCCTCATATCTTCTGATTGCAGCAGGAAATGAGTTCTGTTTTGGAAATATATTAATCTGATGCTTAATACATTACCAGATAAAAAAATTCATCACAATCAGAAGGAAGAGGGTGTCAATATTTGCCGTGAAAATAGCTGATAAAGCCTCCAAGTAGTTGTGAAGGGTTTTTGCGCTTACGTCACTATGACGTCACCGCGAATAGTCGACATCGACTTGACTATTATCATGATGTAGTCGACCTTAAAAATTATGTAGTCGTTCAACCCCTACCTTAACACTCCCTAGTGAACCCCACTTTAGAAAAACACTGCTCTAACATTCTTTCTTTCATAACTGTGGCTTTTAGCAAGTAGAAATAATTTTGGAAATTCTGACTGACCTAAAACAAGAAACATTTGGTCTGATTTAACTTCAGACAGTGAGAAAGATGTATGTGTCTTTTTATTGAGTGTATTTAAACTTCTGGTTCCAACTTTAACCCTGCACATCAGCCTGTGGTGAAGCAGCATCATTCCACAGGTTTTATTTTTCTTTGGCGGGAGATAAGTATGATGGTCGGAAGCTGGTTAGTGTCCAAAAGATTTGACTCTGGGCTGAAGGGCAACAACAACTCTAAGCATCTAGTATATCTTAAATTAAAATTGTTAATTTAAAATCATTTACTTGGTCTATGCAAATTTAACAACGTTATCATTTCTAATACACTAAAAATGTGTTAAAATTGGAACCTGATGGTTTGGGATTGCGTTAGCCTTGGGCCGGCTCTCTTGTATTTTGTATATTGTGAATGAATATTTTCACAGAAAAGGTAACCAAAATGTGTATATTTCCTCCTTTGTACAACTTGCAGACATGACATTGAACCTTGATATAATAAATAAGAAATCATACAAAACTGTGTCAGGATCTTTCACACTTCACTTCCTCTTCTGCCCAGAAATGATGGCAACTTAAACCACCTTAAATACTATCAAACTACTGTTATCCAGTTATATATATTGACACATTTACATAAACATACAGAGAAACAGGGTAGAAACTGAGCAGGTGAGACTGTACAGTTATTTCATTTTGGTTCCTTATATTTTACAGTACAGAGATGGAAAAACTGAGGTAAAAACAAGAACTTGGAAAAGCTGGTTGGTTGGTTTTTAGAGCATTAAAGTCAGTGTAACCTCCAATTGTGGCTTAAAAACATACTCTTGTTCTGCTGATTTGTTTTTTTAGTTCTGTTCCCTCTCAGTCATCGCTGGGGCCCTTCGTCTCGGAGTTTTTCCCAAAGTCGGGTGGCGACGGCACCATGGGAGGGACGCACTGTGACGGCTCACAGTAGCCATTCCTGCCAGCGGGACCCGGAGGGCCTGGAACGCCGTTGATTCCGGGAACGCCGCGCGGCCCCCGCTCTCCGTCACGGCCGTTCGTGCCGTAAGCCGGTCTTCCGGGTTCACCTGGAAGGTGGGTGAACAAAGATAAGAAGTCCAGTTTTTTTTTTTTTTTTTTTCCATTTATGACCATAATACTGTTTAAAAATTGATTTGGCATTTTACTGCGTTTCGTACCGAGTGTAGATCAGGAGTGTTAAATTCATTTTCATTTTGGGCCGTATCGAGATCACAAATATTGTCAAAGTGTTTTTGGGTTTCTACTGCTTCTATAAAAAAAATGCCCAAGTGCTTAAAAGAAAACACACAGGCATTTTTTAGGCAGTAAGTTCATGTTTTTTGTTGTCTGGAAAATTAACTGTTTCAAAATCCTTCAGAATGTAAAGTCACAAATCAGTAGGCACTGCCTGTTGCCTAGCAACCCAAGCAAAACCCCAGCCCGTTACCTAGCAACCCAAACTGAATTCCAGGATATTTTGTCAGTTGGTTTTACCTCTGTGTTTGCTGTAAAAGACAAGTAATATTTAATTACTAATATTAATATGCTTAATATTTGTGAAAAAGAACTGGTCCCACTGGCAGATTATTTTAACAAGACATGTTCATGTTCATGTTATAAGTGAAATAATCTGCCAGTGGAACTAGTACTTTTTGATCAGTATTAAGGGTTTTTCACTTAAAATAAGCACCGATATCTTGCTGAAAAGCTACTTTTAAGTTACTTTTATCTTATTTCAAGTGTACTATAATTGCACATCTGTTTGCAGTCATTTTCACATGTAAATGTAAACAATGAGTTGGGTGGGGTGGCCAGCAGCAGCTTATTTGGATCTAAAGTCAGGAAGCCCTAAAACTTCCTCTTGGACAGCAGCTGACATTTTCT